AACTGGAGGAGGAAGAAACTGATGAAGCAAATAGGGGTAAAAGACGGCAATTGAGGCAAGCTGAGGCCAAAAAACCCCTGCCTCAGCCTGTTGAAACCGGCCCCGAAAAGAGCAAGGCGAGGAGTATGAGCCAGATGAAAAAGGTCCAGTACAGCTCGCTCCTCCACCTGCTCAATCAGCTAGACAGTGTCCGGTTGTGCTTAGAGTGTACTGTGAAAATGTGCGGCGACCACGGCGAGAAAGTGCCAAAAGGGTCACAGATTCTGTTCAAAAGAAAATTTGGCGATATGCAACAGGTGTTGAGGACGGCCAAGGAGAGGTATCATTCCCTCACCGAAGAGATTAGTTCGGTGTAGTAAATAGCTGGAAAGATTAAGCGATTTCTCCATTCATCTGTGAGGACGGCCTAACGAAGCTTCGATTTTGATAACTTGACGTGGTTTGTATAGTCTGCTATCATGTTGATAGTGTTTGCACCCAATTGGGCCGCGTTTTGCAATGGCTGCGAAATGCCGGGGTCGCGTATCGAATACGCGGAGAAGAAAACGCGAGATTTACGACATTACGAAGACGCATGTTCATTTCAGAACGTCCTGATTAGATTGAAATTTGATAAAGCTCGAGGTGGTTTGGGGAGAAGGCAAATTTGGTGGCGATATTCGGGTCATTTTTTCACTTCTACCAAACGCTACATATGGCTTTGGCGCGGTTTGTCACACGCTCATGAGACATGGCACAACCTCATTCAAGTCACTTTCAGGTTCTCGTCGAACTCGGTACTCGAGGCAAATTTCCTTTCTGTATCGTGTCGACAGTGCTGTTTTCACGGCTGGGAATAAAATTTGATGCTCATGTTGTCACGAAGTGTCAGCGTAAACAACAATCTCTGTATCATCCACCAACAGATCAATACAGCTTGCGGGTCCTTCAAAGGTGAATATAAGTTTTGGAATGAGGTAAAACAAAAACGAAAACAGTATTGACTGAGATTCGCCGGTATAGCCAATGACTTTCATCTGCTTATCAGTTCGAAGGTTCCTACGAATAAGTGACTATCCTACCGATCAATTCGAAGCTAGCTTACATACACAGCACGCTAGCAGCAGCTTGACCATCGATTCATGCAGGCGCAATAGGTAGACGATTCTAGGCGAAGACGATCAGATTTGAATAAAAAAATAACCCAACAAAAACGTTTAAATTGATAACACTACACCTAAACGATTCGCTTTTTTGCTTGTCGCCCTCACTCGCAATCAAATTTGATCCCACCTAATGGTAACTACTGGCATACAGCTCCAGCACCGGAACGCACCCACACAGGCGGTGCGGGTAACCCTTGATCGCCCAATTAAAGCGGCGTTCGCACTGGCACCGGCAGCTAGCGCGTTCATTGGTCGAAACGCGCAAACCGAGAGCGTCCGGCCGGCATGGGGCCTCGCACCGGGGCCCACGGGCGAAAAGCTTATAATTCTCGGTGGACGCTCGCACTTTTTTCTCCCTCCAGTTCAACAGTGAAACATCATCTAACAAACGATGGTTCTTCCAAGATTGTTTAACACTGCTTCTCGCGGTGCCTTCACCGCTGCCAAGCGCAACGTCTTGTTCAACAGAAGCTTGGCCACCGCTGCCGCCGCCAACGGTAAGGTTAGGTATGTACCACCCATGGACTTTTCCCTAAGGGCGATCTTGAATCTGGAAATACTTTGAGGGTTCATTTTGGCAATTGCATGTCAGTGAATTTCTTGATGAAACTTTCATCGATCAATCAACGAGGCAGCTTTCCTCTCTTGGAGCTTTCACTGCTTCCGATCGTGTTTTGTTCTTTCCATATCTTTCAGGTAAACACGGACCACGAACTGTATGGGTCAATTTCGTGCACCCAAACACCATTCAGTCCAACAGCACAGCAAGCTTTGTTCACTTGATTATCCACATACTCGTATCCTACCCTGATTCACACGAGTTTTCGATTAAAGGGGCTTCTCTTGACCCGTACCCGCCCACCTTCAAATTGACCCTTCCGACGCCTCATCACGTGATCAATTGTCTCAACTCCACACAAGTTCTGTCAATGACCCACCTTTAAAAATGCATATACTAACAAACACAGAGCTGTTATTGGTGCCGTTGTCGATGTCCAGTTCGAGGAGGGCAACTTGCCAGCTATCTTCAACGCCTTGACGTTGAAGAACGGCGACCAGAAGTTGGTCTTGGAGGTGGCCCAGCACTTGGGTGAGAACACCGTCAGAACCATTGCCATGGACGGTACCGAGGGTTTGGTCAGAGGCGCCTCTGTCACCGACACTGGTGCCCCTATCTCCGTGCCTGTTGGCCGTGAGACCTTGGGTCGTATTATTAATGTTGTTGGTGAGCCAATCGACGAGAGAGGCCCAATCAACACCAAGAAGAGAAACCCTATTCACACCGACCCACCTTCGTTTGTCCAGCAATCCACTTCCGCCGAGGTCTTGGAGACTGGTATCAAGGTTGTCGACTTGTTGGCCCCTTACGCCAGAGGTGGTAAGATTGGTTTGTTCGGTGGTGCCGGTGTCGGTAAGACCGTGTTCATCCAGGAGTTGATTAACAACATTGCCAAGGCCCACGGTGGTTTCTCCGTTTTCACCGGTGTCGGTGAGAGAACCAGAGAGGGTAACGATTTGTACCGTGAAATGCAGGAGACTGGTGTCATCAACTTCGAGGGTGACTCCAAGGTCGCCTTGGTTTTCGGTCAGATGAACGAGCCTCCAGGAGCTAGAGCCAGAGTTGCCTTGACCGGTTTGACCATCGCCGAGTACTTCAGAGACGAGGAGGGTCAGGATGTGTTGTTGTTCGTCGACAACATTTTCAGATTCACCCAAGCCGGTTCTGAGGTGTCTGCCTTGTTGGGTCGTATTCCATCCGCTGTCGGTTACCAGCCAACCTTGGCCACCGATATGGGTGCCTTGCAGGAGAGAATTACCACCACCAAGAAGGGTTCCGTCACCTCCGTCCAGGCCGTCTACGTGCCAGCCGATGACTTGACTGACCCTGCGCCAGCCACCACTTTCGCCCACTTGGACGCCACTACTGTGTTGTCCAGAGGTATCTCTGAGTTGGGTATTTACCCCGCTGTCGACCCCTTGGACTCCAACTCCAGATTGTTGGACGCCACCGTTGTTGGCCAGGAGCACTACGACGTCGCCACCAACGTCCAGCAAACTTTACAAGCTTACAAGTCCTTGCAGGATATCATTGCCATTTTGGGTATGGATGAGTTGTCCGAGACCGACAAGTTGACTGTCGAGAGAGCCAGAAAGATCCAGAAGTTCTTGTCCCAGCCATTTGCCGTCGCCGAGGTTTTCACCGGTATTGAGGGTAGATTGGTCAGATTGGAGGACACCGTTAGATCCTTCAAGGAGGTTTTGGAAGGTAAGTACGACCACTTGCCCGAGAACGCTTTCTACATGGTTGGTGGTATCGAAGACGCTGTCGCCAAGGCTGAAAAATTGGCTGCTGAATCCAAGTAAGCGTGCCGCTGCATAGTATGACTGAATGACTAGCCAGTAGAGGATACTTCCGTATTTATACGTCGACTCACTTCACATAAAAATGAATACATTCAAGATTTAAGTTATTAACAACATTTTCACGCCAAAACCTTCTTTTTCTTCTTGGGCTTTTCTACCTTCGTGGAAAAGTTTCTCCACAGTTTGACTCGCGTGTCTCGATCCAGCTCCCACCGAGATTCCCACGATTTCTTCATCTCCCTTTCTTTGGCTGCACTTTTAAAGTCAGACTGTTTTCTCATTTCTTGTCGCTGTAGGTAATTGGTCTCGACTGTCTGATCCATTTCGTGTTGCTTCAACACCAAAGCCACTTTCTCGCGTATGGCCCTATTGGACTCGTGGTAGAAGTCATCTACCTTGTCACCTCCAAGCCCTTCAGCGACTTGTTCGTATATCAGAATCAAATTGCTTTTTTCCATGTACTTTTTCTTATCTTCCACGATGGATTTATCGTCCTCATCATTTCCCCCACTTCTTCCACTATCTTCTATGGGCTCTGACGCAAGCACCAAATTAGCCTTTTTCAAGAGATCAAACGCGGCCGGCGCATCCTTATTCTTCACCTTATCGGGGTGGATTTGTAGCGACTTTTTCCTGTAGATTTTCCTGAGCACTGTGGCGAGTGGAACATGCTGAGAAAGTGGATTGATTTGCAATATGGCAAAATAGTCTTTGGGATGGCACGCTAGCACACGAGCAATCTCTTGGTCGCGTGCTATTTCAGCCTCCTGTGCTTGTAAATGTGCATCTAAATCTGTCATCGTCAATGATAGGTTATGTGGAATGAGTCAAGTGGATTTTGATATCTGTGTTATTGAGGTTGTCCCTCACGAATGATTGGGAGATGTGCTCACTTGTGACTTGTGAGGTGCGGGCAGATACTGGAGCCGCGACTTGATCAATCACTATATTTTGGATGACCTGAAATCAATCCAAGCTTTTGGCAAATACTGAGAATTTTGAAAATCAGCCCGGCAAAGAATTTGGGAACATCATGACTTGTCTTGAAGCGCTCTTGGTGATATCATCTATGATAAATATATCTTATTTTGGCTTCATTCACTTATTCCCAGATCGTTTGTACTTGGCAGCCTGATAATTTCAAATCAGTTTTTCTTAAAAAACAAGGAGAACGATTTTATCTTGAAAACCTACAAATCTGTGAACTCAAATTATCAAAACTCATTGGGTGAAATAGTACTTATCCGTTTCGACAATGAACTCATAGGGGCCCTGCGAAAGCTATGGTACTAAGGAAAGAATAATTATCTCTCAATAATTATGCCTCTAGCAAACAACGAAGTCAACCCCGACACTCGCTGGGCTTATATATCTTACACTCTGAGTACGGAGCGGATCGAGATGTCCTTGTTGGATTCAACAAGGCCGGCTATGGGCAGACTTTTAGAAGGATTGGTTGCAAGAATGCAAGAAACCACCCAGGTAGCTACATGGAAACAAAGGGAATCGAACCACTATTGCATATTTTGAAGACATGTGCTTTACCATTAAGCTATACTCTCAATGATACGTAAAATATTGAGCAAGTGCTTAGTCCTGGTATTTATACCTCTATTGACTAATAGGCTTTGAGTTTTCCCAAAACCACTCTATTCTGTCTAATCAGTTGAATCGTTTAGTGATCAATTTTCAAATCAAGTGCCCTATTCTTCTATCCTACAAAAGAAATTTATCTCTCTCAACAAAGCCATATGCGCTGAAATATATTTCCAAAACACATTTTACTGAAAAAAGTTCACCTATTACACAATTTAATACATTGTCAAATATACTACTTACTGGGCATGGCATGGCATAGCTGCAGGCGTGCAGCGTGCGCACTGAGATGTCGGCCAGTCTTGTCTTGTCGACCCAACCAACTTTTACTATGAGCAGATCGAATTCTCAATACAGACAGCAACAACCATTAAAGCCATTTTAAATATATTTTGAAAAACGCGTTTTTTGCAGCCAAACTCTCTTTTAACCCCTGCATGCTCCGCCGCGCCATGTCTTCCTGGAAGCCGCGTTATTTCGATATCGGAGTCAATTTTTCCGACAGTATGTTCCAGGGCCGATACAATGGCTCTGCCACGGCAAAGCACCCTGCCGACATCGAGCAGGTGATCGCACGTGCCAAATTATTCAACGTCAACCGAATGCTTATTACCGCGTCGTCGATCGAGGAATCCCGTGCCCATTTGCTGCTTGTAGCGGCTCATTTGCCCAATTTTGCATCCACTGCAGGAGTGCATCCATGCACCGTGGCCGAAGAATTTTATGGTGGCATCGACAACGAAGCGCCATTGGAAAATGTGGAGGAAAAATTATTAGAGTTGAAAAACATCGCTTTGGAAGGCCATGAAAAGGGTCTAGTGAAATCGTTTGGCGAAATCGGCCTCGATTACGATCGCTTGCATTACTCCACCAGAGCGCAACAGAGAGAAATGTTCACGAGACAGCTTCAGGTGTACGCACAAGTGAAGCATTTGAAAATGCCGCTATTTCTTCATATGAGGGCTGCATGCGATGACTTTGTTGAATTAATTCTGCCTTTTTTGGAAGACGGCTCGATTAGCGTGGGGAATGGCGTGGTGCATTCTTTCACAGGTACAAAAGAAGAGCTTGAAAAGATCCTCAAACTCGGTTTCTTCATCGGAATCAATGGCTGCTCGCTCAAGACGCAAGAGAATGTCGATGTGGCCAAACTTATTCCACCTGAAAAGCTCATGATAGAGACCGACGCCCCGTGGTGTGAGATCAGAAAGAGCCATGCCAGCTACCCATTGATCTCGCCATACCCAAGTCTTTTCTACCCGGAAATCTCTGTCAATATTTCAGAAAACGTGGAAGAGGACATTGGAGACAAAAAGAAGCCATCGGCGCCAAAGAATGCAATCAAATTGGACGCATTTTTGCCTTTCCCCAGTATCAAGAAAGAGAACTTTGAGAAGCACAAATTGCAGACACAACAAAGGCTCGAGAGCTTAGGGGAGGCGCCCTCCTTGGACGTGGGTGAATTCGCGTACCCGTTGATCAAATCACGAAATGAGCCCGTGTTCGTTGGCCAGGTGGCCGAGATCATGGCCAAGCTCCATGGCTTGACTGGGGAAGCCGAGACCAGGACGTTCGTGGATACTATTTATACAAATTCCTGTACACTATTTAACATGTGATATAATACATTTTGGCCCTCATCGTCTTTGCCTTGTGGTTCTTCTCAAATTGTTATGCACGGGCGCAGGTGCGGGTGCAGCAAGTTGTGCCTGGTGATGGGACCTGGTCTTGCGAGGTTCCGGACGCGTTTTTGCAATTGGTATGACCGGTGTTTCCTCTTCCTCCTCCTCTTCTTCCTCCTCGTCACTTTTCTCAGATTCGTCATCAACCTCGTCGTCGTCGTCTTCAAGCAGCGCCTCGCCCTTGTCTGGCTCGCTGTCTTCTTCAAAAAGTTCATCCGCTTCTTCCCCAGAAACAAGGTCATTTTCCTGTATCAAGGCACCGATGCTCCGGTCAGCTGTAAGCGGCTCGCCATTGTCCTCTACGAATTCTTCTGACTCCGTGTCAGTGCTGCCACTTTCCAGCTCCATGTCATCTGAGTTCGGGGCAGCCAACTTCACATCATCAGTCTCCAAGGATGGCTTTTCCTGAGTTGCAATCTCGATATCGGGATGACATAGGTGATAGTCGCTCGGCTCAAAAGTAGATTTCTTAGATTCCGAACTCTTCTCAGCAAAAGACGCTTCGATGGCTTTATACGCCTCTTCCTCGAATGTGTATGGATTGTCGATATCGTCCTTGAGAAATTCCGTGATCATAGAAATACTATTACTGACAATGGGAGCCAGCGAGCCAGCCTGTGGAATAAGCGTTAGGGCGGGCGCCGAATTGATTCCTCCGGATGGTCCGTAAATGAGAGGTTTCCAGAGTAAGTATCCCGGATTAAGCTGCACGTAATTGCGCAGTTCCCATTTCGCGATTACCGCGTCAATCAAGTCTAGTTTCAACGAGATCGCGTAGCTGCCTGTTTGCTTATGCTTGAGCAAAGCATCTAATTGTTCCAAGGCAAACACCACATCCGATGGTTTCATGCCTGTGAGCTGCGCGATGTTCTCAAGCGTCAACGACGCCAGAGCCATACCTTGGCTCAAGAAGTCATCATGGAGTCGCCTCAAGGTCTGCGCAACGGCGATTTTCCAGTAATTTCTGTAACTGACAAGTCCCAAATCACTCAAGGGCTTTTCCGGTGTGCCGTATTTGAATTCCCTCCGCGAGAGCAAATAGCTGAAGTCGATCATCAAGCTACCGTAGCCCTTGCGCTGGTATATTGGTAACGTCAAGATGCATGAAACGTTGTAGTCGGAGTTGTTTAGTTTTTCCTTGGAGAAGTAGCCCACGAAGTGGTACGTGGACGAGTCCTGCTCGTCAATTTCCGTGAGGACATAGAACACAAAGGGTTCGACGTCATAATACAACGTTTTCGAGTTCAAGAATAGTTTTGCCAACAAGCACAAACTCTGGCAATATTCGATGTTTTTGCGCCCATCGACCTCCCAGAACGCGATCCGCAGTACGGGATCTCGGTAGATTTCGACCCCTGGCGGATGATTGTTTCCAAAATTGCAGCTTTTAGCCTGATGCCGGAAAAAGGCTTGCGGCAGGCTCATATACTTCAAGCAAAACTCACAGGTATACAACACCTTGTGTTTTGCGTACTCTTCTGGGTACGGCAGCGAATACCACGTGTCGATCAAATACTCGCGGAACTGTAATTTCTCGATTTGGCTCCGCAGGTAGTAATGAGAAGCTCCCTGTGGGATCGGCGTTGCCGCAGGTGAGTCTTCAGGAACGGAACCAGCGAGCATTTGGTTCTGCACCTGCGTCTGCCGCTGCGCCGCCTCTTTTGCCAAATCGTCAAACACCTTTCTGTCTGCCGCAGTCGGGTCCGTGTGATTAATTATACATTCTGGAAACGGTAACACACCATGGTAGGGAAGGTCCCTTTCGAGGCTCTCCAGAAGCCGTTCCGTGGCCTCCAGCAGAAGCGTGGGTTTATCAGACGCTGGTCGGAAGCGTTTGCGGGCACTGTGCCTCGCCAAGCGGGCCTCTAGCCCCAGATCTCGCGCGCGGGTATGGGGAACTTGTCGGTTGTTTATCGGCAGCCGCGAGCCGCGTTTCCGCCGCGTTCTGCCCACTGAAACAGTCTCTACATCATCACGAGAATCTGTACGTCTGATACGTGACTGTGGCGGCCGGAGCCGAGACAAACTTTCGACAGGAGGGGCTGCGGGCGGCACAATGCCAAAGTACCGTCTGGCCAACTTGTTGCGCACGTTGAATTTGATCAACACCATAAACTCGCCATCGCTCTGGCTCACAACTTGAGCCAGGAACATGCGCGGCCGGCCCTTTCGTCTTATCTGGCCGTTTGGCGGCACCTGGAGAGTTTTGGCGGACTGTTTTGCCTCTCCTGCAGATACCCCATTTCCGTCTACAGAAGACGCCGAGTGGGTGGGTCTGGAGGTCCCGTTTGGCCGCGGCGGGCTCGGCAAAGACGTATTTGTGCCAGGAGACGAGTCACCGTCACGGCTATGTCGGAGCCTGCCCTCAGGCATGTGCTCGTATATCTTGTTGTTGGTGATTTTGATCTCGTCGAGGAGTTTCCCCATTGTGCGTGTGGAAAAAGGCGCAAAACAGGCCTACTTTTCCATGAGATATACACCAAGAGCGGCTTCGATATCTCTAAACTCCTTATATTGCGTGAATTGGGTCTTTGTACGCTGTTTTGGTACGGCTTCCAGAACACACTGATGGCTGAATCGAACGGTATCTTTATGCAGTGAGCACCGTCGCTAAAACTTTGAAAATCCACAGAAAACTTGCACAAATAACTGTATATGTTGAAGTAAATAAATGGCCGTGTTTCAATTTCGCAAATTTATTGTCTTTTTCTAGTTCAGCCGTGTGCAAACAAATCACCGGCGTGCCGAGTGATGATCATTTTCAGATTCCGTTACGCGTCACTGTGGGAGTGCACACAGCAGGAACGCCAACAATGCGCACCAGTGTTTTTTGTTCTGGTTTGATCAACAAAAATCAACACGTAAACAACAGGTTTGGTGCAAGACTGTATACACCATTCAGGGCCGTAGTTAGAACTATAACACCCGCTACTATTTCATGCCATACATTATCATCATTAAAAATACAATAGTCGCTGCGCGTAGTGGCCTCATCTTTTCATACAGTTTATGACGTAGCTTCGGAATCATTGTCGTCCTCTTCGTCGACTTCCTCAATGTGCTTCTGGTGCACGGAGTCCTCCTCGCTGTCGTCCGCCTCGCCGTCCTCAGCACCGTGCGCGCCCATGCCGAAGGACGCCAATAACAGCTGTGCGCTGGACGTGTCCAAGTAGATAACGCCGTTCTCGTTGGTGATCACGTTGCTGGATAACAACTTCTGCAACGAGATTGCACCCGTATCAAGCTCGTGCTCGTCGGAAGACTTTTCGCGCGCAGCGGCCCCG